GAAACCATTCAGTGTTTCCATGTTCTGTTTGAACAAGTGCCTCTTGGTCCAGGTACAGATTCCTCATGAGCACAATTAAGTGTTCAGGAATACTCATACTTCACAGTGTTGTCCATAGCTTGTCATGATCCATACAATCGAAAGCCTTTGTGTAGTCAATAAAGCATAAGTAGACATTTTTCTGATATTCTCTGCTTTCAGCCAAGATCCATCGGACGTCGGCAATGATATCCCTTATTCCACGGCCTCTTCTGAATCTGACTTGAACCTCTGGAAGTTCTCTGTCAATGTATGATTGTAGCTGTTTCTGTATTACTTTTAGTAAAACTTTACTTGCATGGGATATCAAATTCTACGTATACAGCTCAATTAATGATTTTTTTTCATACCCTTGTAATCACCACCCAGATGTGAGGGTGTTGCAGGAACGGGCAGAATTTCATTCGGTGCATAGGGTTGCTATGTGTTGGAACTGACGTGACTGCATCTAATAACAACAACAGACACTACCAGACATTTTTCAGTTTATTCCCATTGGTGTGGCACTGTAGGACCAGCTCTGGAGTTCAAACCCACCAGCTGCTCCTCAGAAACTTTATACAGGGTCGCTATGAGTTGGGTCTGACTTGACAGCACTTAACAACAACAAAGCAATGTAAGAGCGTAGTGCCTCATCTTTACGGACACTTTTCAGTCTATTTCATTAGTATTCCGGTGACTGTCTTGGAAGAAGTACAGCCAGAATGCGCCTTAGAGATGAGGATGCAAGACTTCATCTCATGTATTTTGGACATGTTTTCAGGAGGGACCCAGTCCCCAGAGAAGACACATAGCTTGGAAAAGTGGAGGGTCAGCTAAAGAGAGGAAACCCTCCAGTGAACTGGATTGACACAGTGACATCGATTGTGAGACAGTCACAGGACTGGGCAGTAGTTCACTCTGCTGTGTGTTGGACCACTGTTACTCAGAACCAACTTGACGGCACCGGATAGCAACATTCTGGTAGATGTGTAGTCATATCTATGTCATATCATATGTATTTGCATTTTATGTAGAAAAGTCCATTTGAACTGCAAGGTTGGTGGTTCAAACTCACCAGCCACTCCTTAGAAACCCTGTACATGGTCACTATGAGTCAAAACTGACTTACCAGCACTTAACAACAACAAAAAGTGATTCTGAGCAGCTTTTTATATGTCTGTTGAAGATTTGTCTGTTTGTCGTACTGTGGTGGCTTCTGTGTTGCTGTGATTCTGGAAAACTATGCCACTGGCATTTTAAATACCAGCAGGGTCACCCATCGTGGACAGGTTTTAGCTAAGCTTCCAGACGAAGACAGACTAGGAAGAAGGAGAAACAGACCACTTCTGAATGCGCAGCCACTGAAAACGTTATGAATAGCAGGGAACAACTGTCAGATGAAGTACAGGAAGTTGAACCTCTCAGGCTGGAAGGCGTTATTTGAAAATACAGCTGGAGAAGAGCGCCCTCTTTACAGTAGAGTTGACTTTAATGATGAGAATTGAACAAAGCTTTCAGGACCTTCTTTTGCTGATGGGGCACAACTCAAAATGAGAAACAGCTGCAAACATCCATTAATAATCAGAATGTGAAATAAATGAAGCATGAATCTAAGAAAATAAGGAAAATGAAAAGAAACACATAATGAAAAGAAACACATAAAGATTGATGTCCTAGGCAACAGCCAGCTGAAATAAACTGGTATTGACCATTTTTAATCAGACAGTCCTATGGTTTACTAAGGAATAACAAGCTGAGAAGAATGGCATTATTTATCACCAAAAAAAATACCACTAATAGATTTACACAGTAACCACTAAATCCAGTGATGACAGCAGTTTCTGGCCCTAGATGGAGTTCCTATTGGCCTTGACATTATCTATGTTCAGGGCTCTCAATCTGGGAATTCGTTTCTGGGTGCCCTTGATGGAGTTGGTTTCAGTGTTTGTTAGTACCACAGGGAAACTGGGGTGACTGGTTAAATGCTGGTTTGGTGGCTCTGCAGGTTTTGTAGGTCTGGAGCTGAGCCCACCTGAGTCCAGACACCAAGTGGCGCAGCTGGCCCCTACTCACATTGGCATGGCTCCCAACCACTTGGTTCAGAACTCCTGGAGACCAGGGTCTCCACTCAGGTGGATGAGGGTGGTTGCTGGCCACATCTGTGGTCACCAGGAAAGTGTGGGGAAAAAGAAGAAATCACACATTTCCCTTCACCTGCTGGAATCTGCTCTGCCAGGCCTCCCGCCACTGCCAAAACTGCTCACAAGATGGTCAGGCTGCATCTGGCCGGTTGTTCACTGGTCAGTCTCCCTCTCACCATCCCTGCTTGGACTCTCCTCTCTGCAAATACTCTATCCACCTCTCTAACCTTTCTTCTGAAGTTCAGAGTTACCAGAATTTTCATCTGTATGTGTTTTATTTGGTCTCTCGTATTTTTGTTATCAACAGTTCCTCTAGTCTGCCTAGTCCGCCATCTTGCTGGACGTCTCTCCTCTCACGTTCACTCTTGGCACTCCTCCCTGTGTCTCCCACTGCCTTCATCTTTTTTCTGCCAACCTCCCTCTTATATACTATGTGTACTGTCACCCATATTAACATGGGTCTACTCTCTTGCCCATGATTAATTTTTCCACTTCAATCCCTCCTTTGCCCCACCATAACCATCATAGAATGTTTCTTTTATCAAGAAAATATTTTCTTAACTTTTACAATAATAGTCTCATACAATATTTTTCCTTTTGTGATTAACTAATTTCACTCAGCATAATATTCCACAGGTTCATCCACATTGTGAGATGTTTGGTAGATCCATTGTTATTCTTCAGCAGTGCGTAGTATTGCATTGTGCATATGTACCAAAGTTTGTTTAATCATTCCTCTGTTGTTGGGCGTTTATGTTGTCTTTGTCTTTTTTTTTTTTTTTAATGTTTCATTGTATGACTCTGCCTTTTTGATGTCTTTTGTAGCCAGCATGTTGAAAGATCCTGATTTCTTATCCATTTGATTACTATTTGTCTGTTGACTTGTGCATTTAATCCATTTACAATTGATTGCTGTCGTTTAGCTGTGTTTTTTTGTGGTGCTGCTGGTTTCTGTGTTCCACATTATTTTCTGCACTGAGTTCATTTTGTTTGTGGGTTTACTTTTCACTTTTATTTCTATGTGTTAATGTTTACTAAAACTTTCTGATTTTCCTTCCCTCGCCCCCTGTTTAAAATAGTTTTATCTTGAAATCTACTTAACTTCCTGTCATTTTAAAGTTCTGTATTTATACTATTTCCTCTTTTGGCTTAGTAGTTGATGTCATTAATAATTGATCTCTCTGGTTTCATATTTTCAGTTTTGTAGGCTTCTCTTTAATTATGTCTGTATCTGGATTTGTTCAGCTTCTTGTATGGTTATCTTCTCATCTTTCATGATGTTAGAGAAATTTTCTTCCAACAACTCTTCAACATTTTTCTTTGTGTTTTTTATTGTCTCTTCCTGTCCTGGAATTCTGATCACCCATAAGTTATACTTCTTGGTGCCCCGCATAACTCTTAGGCTTTATTCAGATATTTTCATTCTCTTTTCCGATTGTTCTTCTAGCATGCTAGTTTTGAGAGATTTACCTTCAAGGATACTAATTTGGGTTCCATTGCTTTGAATCTTCTCCTTTGCCCTTTCATTTCTTCTCCTATCCATTTCCGAAATCTTATTGTTAATCTTCTGGATTTCTAATTCCAGGCTTTGTATTGCTTCAAATTTTGAAATTATTTCTGTTTATTCTTGTCATGTTTTCCTGAATTCTTCCAAAGTTTTTTCTGAGTTCTCATTGCTTTCCTTGATCTTTCTTGTCAGTCCTTTTGACAGAAGGTACCTAAATATCATTCTTCTGAATTCTTTTCCAGTTATTTCTATTACCTCTTCTTCCTCAGAAGTGTTTTCTGACTCTACATTTTGGTCATTTGTTTGGGCCATTCTGTTGTTTCTTTGTGTGAACTAAAATTGTCTGTTGTCTCCAAGACACTGTGGTGTTGCTTTATTTGTATTTAATTGATGACGGTATGTTAATATGTTCTTAGGACATAACCAGGTGTCTCCTGTGGGTGTTTGTGCACCTCAGTTTAGGGTGGATTTGATTAGCATTGGCTGCTATCTATAGTTGATCAGGTGGCACAGGAGCAAGTATTGGCTCTTGCACAGTGGATGGAGCTTCAGGAGATCTTGCTCAGGGGCTGGGCTGTATGGGCATGGTTGCTGTCTCCTGTCAAGTGGAAAAGAGGAGAAACCCCCCTATATACATGCATATACACACACAGAATAAAACAAAACAGAACAAACAAGCAGCCAATAATGAAAAGAGACAATAATAAAGGAGAAAATAAAAATATCAGCAACCAAGAAAAAGAATGTAATAACTAAAAAGAGAAAAGAGGGACAGGAAAATGGAGCTATAGAAGAGAAAAATAAGAGAAAAGAAAAGGAAGAAATAAAAATCACTTTGAAAAACTAGGAGATGGAATACAAAAAGAGAATACAGAGTAGTAAATAAAGATATAAAGGAATAAAAAAGACGAAGGGAAATCAACAGAAGAAATGAAGGAAAAACAAAAGAGGATAAAAATCAAGGGAATGGACAGAGAAGGAAAAGGAGAAGAAAGAATAAATAAACAAAAACAACCAAAGAACAACAGAAAAAAAAAACAACAACAACAACCCAAAAGACAAGTGCATTTGTTAAATCCAGAGAGAGAAAACTTGGGGGCTTTGCCAGTCAAGGAGCTCACAAGAGGGGTGGCTGGAGGGATGTGACGCCTGATTTCCTGGCACTAGATGGAGTTCCTATAGGCCTAGGTGTTATCTATGTTCAGGGCACTCCACCCGGAAGTATTTGGTGGAGGCCATCGATGGAGCTGGTTTCAGTGTTGGTTAGGACCACAGGGCAGCTGGGGACATGAGGGTGGATTATGAGGGTTTCTGCGAGACTAATGCTGATTTGGTGGCTCTGTGGGGACTGTAAATCTGGAGTCAAGCCTGCCTGAATCCAAGCACTGTGGTGACGAAACCCACCCCTGCCTCACACTGGCAGGGCTCACAACCATGTGCCTCTGAACCCCCAGAGAGTAGAGTCTGTGCTTGGGGTGGATGTGACTTGGGAACTGGCCACACCTCTGTTCACCAGGGGAGCCTGGGGGAAAAGAAGAAATCACATCTTTCCCATTACCTCTGTGAATCTGCTCTGCCAGGCCACCTTCTGTTACCAAAGCTGCTCACAAAAGTTCAGGATGCTCGCATTGCGTCTCATCGGCTATTGACCAGTCAGTTTCCTTCTCTCCCCTCATCCCTGCTTAGCTTCTCCCAGCAAGCATTCAATCCACTTCTCTAACCTTTCCTCAGAAGTTCAGAATTTTCATCGGTGTCTGTTTCATTTAGTCTCTCGTATCTTTGTTGTAGAATGTTGTGTGCAGTGCATCTGCCAAGTCCGCCATGTTGCCAGAAGTTCTCCACTAGCCCTAACTCTCATCTTTAAGGAGATTCTCCTTACATCTAGCTTTTAGGCCTGGGCCCTCTCCAGAGCTTCAGTCCCCATTTCCCTCAGCCTGCCCACCTCTGGGCTCCGGGGGCTGTCACCCTCTTCTCTTTCTACTCTAGACTCTGTGGAGCTGAGTGCTCGTGTGTTTCCTCAGGGAGCCAGCGGTGGCAAGGGGGCTCGGTAATGTACTGGCTGTATTCTCTCTGTTTCACAGTCTGTTGCTTAAGGAAGTTTTTATTGAAATGGCCAAGAGGTATATTTCCTATGTGTGTAAAAACTACAGTGCATTTTGATACAGTAACTGTAGCTTCTGATGCTGAATTTATATCAATGGAGACTCCACAATGAAAGGAGACCTGAGCTTGTATCAAGTTTCAGGCCCTTTACTTTTACATGTGTCTGTTTTTCCCATTTCCTCAGCAGACCACTGTTTTTGTCCTCTTGCTAGGTTCAAGGTGTTGATTTTCTCTTTTATTTCTTTTGAAACAGGTTGGTCAGGCCAAAGATGAGCTGCTAACCAGTCAGTTGATCGACCACCTTATGGGGGAGAATGACGGCATGCCGAAGGTACTAACCGTGTGCACTTCATCTGGACTTTGAAGTCTCTTGGTTCTGGTTCTACTTGGTTTTGCCCTATTTTTACCTATTACGGCATTTGCATCATAGATTTGTGCATTTTTATTTCTCAAAGTAGCCTTAAAATTCTTTCAGTCAGACACTGCACTTTAGAGGCTACTGTGTTTGTTCACTCTACAATTGGCATTGTCACAAGCCTCTTCTAGATAGCAGATTCTCCACCACCCACAATTCTCCTCAAATGGTAGCTTAATTTATTCTGCTGCTTGTGCTGCTGTGTGTCAGGGGGCCAGTTCCAACTCACAGCCACCCTTTATGCAGTATCTGAGGCTGTCAGTCTTTATGGGAGCAGAAAGCCTTGTCTAAACTCTGAATGAGTGCTTGATAAATAAACAAATTCTTTACTCCTTGGAGAGTAACCGAACTGCAAAATCTCAGGTGTTTCTCCCCTTAGCTAATGATGAAAGTGATGTGTCTCTATTTGTTTCTGTGGCAGGATGCCAAGTACCTGTTTCGTTTGTACATGGCTCTCAAACAGTACCGAGAAGCTGCCCGGACTGCTATTATAATTGCCCGAGAAGAACAGTCTTCAGGTAGGTGCCTAACATGCATGTTCTTCCTTCCCAATCAGGTAGTAGAATCAAGCCACTCCCTACTCCCCGCTATTTCTCTGTCCAGGAAAGAAACAGGTTTCTAGTTTAGAACTGCTATGAATCCAAGACTAGAGGGATGATGGCTTCTGGGTCTCCCAGGGTGAGGAGGGAACATAGCATAGCTCTAAGGCCAGCTCTTGTTCGGTGCTGTTTCTTCTGCTCCTTGGGGGTCTCACACCATTTCTGTCTTCTGGGCAGTGACTTTCCACTGCCGTTCTCCTACAGACTCGCCTTGCGTCTGGCCTTAGCAGTAGGAGAGATGTTGACAGATACAAGATACAAGTGTGCTAAGATGTTATTGTTTGTCCTTGAGTTGGTTTCAGCTCACAGTGGCCCTGTATAAAGTTTCAAGGCTGTAAACCTTACAGTAACAGTAACAGAAAGCCTCATCGTTCTCCTGCGGTGCAGCTGGTGTACTTGAACCACCATCTTTGTGGTAGCAGTCCATTGCTTAGTTCTAATTCTTTATAATACACAGGGACTATTTATAGACTTGCCAGAATGGTTGTGTTCATTTATATGCTCTGTAAATATTTATTCAGTAAGTCAGTTAATTAGTATATTATTGTCACTAATTTTTGTTAGCTGATTCTCTCAGATGTTCATGAATGTTGGACACAGCTTTTGACAAGATGGAATTAACTCCATATTTATTCACATATGTGTAACACTTAATGTCTGTCACCTACTCAGAGTACAGAGGACTGAGCCCCGAAAGACTCGGGACTTGATGGAAGAGAGAGGCAAGAAAACTCAGAGTGGTGATAGTGGGTGGTAAGCACTAAGGTAGAAATGTGCTGAAAGGGCACTGAAGTCCCTGGGTGGTGCAAATGGTTACTATGCTCAGCTGCTTACCGAAAGGTTGGCAATTCAAGTCCACCCAGAGGTACCTTGGAAGAATGGCCTGGCAAACAATGGCCATGGAGAACCCGGTGAAGAACAGTTCTCCTCTGACATGAGTTGGAATTGACTCCACAGCAACTGGTAAAAGAGCACAGGGAAGGAGGTCCCCCTCCTTCATCCTGAAGTCTGGGGGCAGGAAGAGTGTGAGCTGAGCTAGCTGGAGATCAGGGAGAAAGGGGCACTGTGAGAGAGGCATGAGCGGCAGGAACGCTCGGGAGTTCCATGACTGGAGCCTGGAGGCACAGGGAGAGAGCTCAGCTGGAAGGGTTTACATCCTCTGCTCAGGAGTTCACATCTAGTCCTTAAGCGTTTGCAGGGTGTAATGGGGTGGTCGGGGTGGGTTTCCAACAGAATTTTCTGATGTCAGAATTGAGGCAGAGGAAGCTCACCAGCCAGCCGTCTGGATAGTGCACTCCTGCAGACAGAGCCTGAGGCTCAGAGAACCTCGTGACCTTGGGGCACGGTGGGTGTCCTGAGGAAGAGAGGACTGACCTGATGCCACATGCTTTCTTTGAGGGGACTGAGTTAGCAGTTATGATTAAGTGCTGTCAGGTCGGTTCCAACTCGGAGAGTTTCTGAGAAGCGGCCAGTGGGTTTGAACGGTCAATGTGGTTCAGTCGAGTACTGCTCCCACAGCGCCAGGGTACTGCTAATCCCGGTGGAATAAAGGCCCACAGGGAGTCCTCAGGCATTAGGCTTGCCAGTCATGGCCACTTTCCACCTTTCTTTCAAGGAAACTATCGGAATGCACATGACGTTCTCTTCAGCATGTATGCCGAACTCAAATCCCAGAAAATCAAAATTCCCTCTGAGATGGCCACCAACCTCATGATCCTACACAGTTATATCCTGGTGAAGGTGAGGCTTTGGGGGGACCCGGGATCTAACTTGCCCGGTGTGCTTGTCACCCAGTGGGACTTCCTCCAGGCACCTCCTCACTGGATTAGAGACAGGTCCAAGATCTCTTTGTTGTTAATGCAGGGCCTTTCGTATACAAACAGAAAGAAGGAGTAGATAGTTGTTGGAAATAAAATTGGAAGAATACTCGAGAATGAAATAAAAGCAGTTACAGAAGAGGAACAAGGCTGTAAGGCACCAGGCCCCAGTCAGGGAGAAACCGCATTAGAGAGCACGTCTCAGCTCCGTGTGTCTTTTTATGTCTGACCCACAGCATTGCCTGTTCCAGAAACAGCTTTACCTCCATCCATTTTTTAAGGAGCCCTAGTAGCACATTGGGGTGGCCAGTGGCCTGCTAGCCATAATATAGGGTCAGCGCTTCAAAGCCAGCAGCCACTGTGTGGGACAAAGATGAGCCTGTCTGCTCTCTAACGGTGTACAGCCTCGGAGACCCTGTGGGTTCATTCACTCCGAGGTGGAATTGACTCGAAGGCTGTGGGTTTCATGGAGAAAACTTTCACTCATAGCCACCCCATATAGGGTTTCCAAGGAGCACCTGGTGGTTAACAGTTCACTATTGACCCTACGGTGCCACACGAAGACTCCTTGGTCTGATTGCAGTTGTTGTTGTTAAGTGCCATTGAGTTGTTTCCGACTCATGGTGATCCTACATAGGGTTTCCAAGGAGCAGCTGGTGGGTTTGAACTGCCGACCTTGTGGTTTGCAGCCCAGTGCTGATCCTGCAGCGCCTCACCAGGAGTCTGATTAGTCTCCTAATAATAACCAGTAAGACATGGGCCGGGGCTTGAATGTTTGTCAGATGGTCTAAAGCAAAGCAGCAGCTAGAAGGTAGAGGAGGAGTGAGCCTGGGTTTGAGGCAGCTGCTGCTGGAAGGAAGGCAGGAAGATATGGGAGGAACCCCAAAAAGGGCTACAAGGGTCTCATGGTGAGGCAGTTCTGGTCATACCAAGAGTTATTTATTTGCAGAACAAAGCATGAATTGAGTTCTTCTCTCACATGTGAGCAGTTGGGATTAAGCTTCTTAGTCTCTTAGAATAATAAAATATATCATTTATTTCAGATTCATGTTAAAAATGGCGATCATATGAAAGGCGCACGTATGCTTATTCGGGTTGCCAACAACATCAGCAAATTTCCATCACGTAAGTACTACCTGAGAATTGCCCAGCACCCACATATCTACATTACTGTAGCATTCTAGGACTCCTGGCATGACTCTGTAAGCTCAGCACTGGACTGCGAACCACAAGGTCAGCAGTTCAAACCCACAAGCTGCACCTCGGAAACTCTATGCAGGGTCACTATGAGTCAGAACCAACTCCTCAGCACTGAACAAAAACAGCATCATAGCATTATAAGCTCTTAGTCACCAGCTCTTCCTGCGACCAGCCTAGGCTCACAACCCCGTAAAGTGGTGTGTCTGGGTCTCCAAGACTATGCACAGGCTCAGGACTCACTTGGAGGACCTACAGGACTCGCATCGAGTTGTGTTCGAGGCCCGGGTTTGTTACAGTGTAGTGGCATGAAGCAGAGTCAGCCCAGGGAGGAGGTCCGCCCAGTGCGTGTCTTCACACAGACCTCACATAACCCCCGACAGTGAGCTGTGGTGGCTCACGTGAGATGCTGTCTGCCAGGACAGCTCCTTAGAGACTCAGTACCGATCACATCAGCAGCCTTGGCCTGACTGACGCACACTCCCAGAGGGAGAGCAGGTGTTCAGTGTAAGCATATCGTGGCTCACACAGAACTGCCCCAAGCCCGAGTTCCCAGAGGCTAACCAGGGTCTCTGTAAGGACAGCAATCTCAGACCTGCTCTGTTAACTCTTTAGTGCACACAGGGGCACTATTTTATTTTCCCTCTTTTTTTTGTAGATTAGTAAACAGGAGCAAGAGAAATAATACTTGCCACAAATCACCAAGCCAGCTCCAAGTCTGATGGTGTCCCCACCTAGGATAGGGTATTGCCTCTGAAAAGGGTGCCACTATTCCCAAAATACATGTTGCTATCACAGCCCACAGGAGCTCTGGTAGCGTAATGGTTACGAATCGGGCTGCGAACCGCAAGGTCAGAAGTTCAAAATTACCAGCTGTTCCGCAGGAGAAAGATGAGGCTTTCTGCTACGGTAAAGATTTACAGCCTTGGAAACCCTGTACAGGGTCGTTATGGGTCGGAACCGACTCCACGCACATAACCATCATCACAGCCCATAGCAACTGGGGCTAGGCACGTTTTAGGGCAGGGGTTTGGCAGAGTTTTTCTGTGAGAGTCAGATGGTAAATAAACGTCGTCGGCTTTGCGGGACATACGGTCTGTGGCTCAGCTACTCAACCCTGCCATTGTAGCATGAGCGACACACAAGCAAACACGTGAGGCTGTGTCCCTAAAGTTCTGATTCACAGTGACCTTGCATAAGGTTTCCGAGGAGCAGCTGGTGGGTTTGAACTGCCGACCTTGTGGGTAGTAGTCCAGGTCTTACTGTACACTGCCACACCAGGATTCCCTTCTTGGCTTATTTGTTGTTGTTGTTAAGTGCCGTCGAGTCGGTTCCGACACATAGCGACCCTGTACAGGGTTTCCGAGGGTGTAAAGCTTTACTGGAGTAGAAAGCCTCATCTTTCTCCCGCGGAGCGGCTGGTAGTTTTGAACCGCTGACCTTAAGGTTCCCAAAAAGAGTTACAGGACCACATTTGTCTCCCAATCATTGTTTCCAACCTGTTACATGAACGTATTTATTTTATTTGGGGCATGAAAAAGCAATAATTGTGTGCTACTGCTGTGTGGCTCTGTGGGTTAATGTGTCAGACTGCAGAGTCGTTTGAACTGCAGGGTCGGTGGTTCAAGCTCACCAGCTGCTCCTTGGAAACCCTACACAGGGTCATTATGGATTGGAATCGACTTGATGGCCCTTAACAACAACAACATGCTGGCGAAGGGAGCAATGAGGAAAACATGTCTATGACCGTTGGTTGGATGGAAATTAGTGTGGCTTTTGTAGAAAGCAGTGTGACAGTTTGAGTGTTGTAGAAAAGGTCATGTTCTGGGAGCCAGTAATTTAACTCCTGCGTATGTCCTGGAGAAAGAAGAGATTCATACAAAGAGCTTGGTGCATACAGTGATTCATTTCCCTTACTCTTGTCATCAGCAGTCCTGGCAGATGCAGAATGTCTCTCAGACGTGTGCAGCCCTTAGTTCCTCCAAGGCAAAACTTGGTGTGACCAAAGGAAAGACATTTTGACGAGTGACTGGCTTGGCTCCACCACTCTTCCTTTTCCTTAATCAACACGTCGTTTCTGGTTCTTGGTCAGAGATTGAGCTTGTTTCCCTACTGCCCCGGGGACAAGCTCATGCCAGTGCCGCAGGAGACCGGAGACATCATGCTCTCTGCTCTCCCGTTCGCCCACAGACATAGTGCCGATCCTGACCTCCACGGTGATTGAGTGTCACAGAGCGGGCCTGAAGAACTCGGCTTTCAGCTTTGCAGCCATGTTGATGAGGCCCGAGTACCGCAATAAAATAGACGTCAAATACAAGAAGAAGATAGAGGCGATGGTCAGGTAAGCACTTCTAATCCCGTTCCACCAGTGCTTCTCAACGTGTAACTGCTAATGTGCAGGCTTAATAAAATGGGTATGGGGAGCCATTAGGATCACATTCAGCTACTAGCAGCAGAAAGCCCAACGAACACTGGCTTCCACAGTCGGCCTCTCTTTGCTCCTACAACACAGCACTGCAGCTCAGGGCTGAGGCAGCTGCATCCTGACACCACAGGACAGATCCGCCATCTTCCAACTTGGCTCTTTGCAGCACGGATTCCTCCTCGTGGCCACAAGACAGTCAGCTCGGCTCCAGGCATCATGTCCGCAGTCAGAGCCGTCAGAAGTGGAAAGAGAACTTTCCTGTGGGAAGCACTCCACAGCCAGAACTCCCATTTACAGCTCCCTGGGCAGCACTTGCCACGTGGAGACCTGTCGCTGCAAAGCACATGCTGAGTGAAGACAGAGTTCTATGGATTGGGTCAGAGAAAAGAATGGTGAACAGCAAGCAGTGTCTGCCACCAAGGGATAGACAGACCAATAATACTTCTAACACAGTCCACCGCCCGTGGAGTTATTTCCAAACCCCACGCAGCTCGATGGTACATAAGGCATGCCCACACTCCAGAAGCCGTAAGTGACCTACATTTGCCTTGTTTTATAAAAAAATTAGGGAAAGGAACATTTGGGTTTTAGAAAAGGAAAACAGCATCATGTATTAATTGTAAATTCTCCCTTGTTCGGAGTGGTGATAACATTTAGGGGTTCCTATTCGTTGTCACCCACTGGTCGTCTGTCAGTAATCTGCGTATTACTGTGATGCCAGAAGCTATGCCACAGGTATTTCAGATTCCAGCAAGGTCACCCTCAGTGGACAGCTTTCAGGTGAAGACAGACTAGGAAGAAGGACGTGGCAATGTACTTCTGAAAAACATCCTAAGAAGAGCAGTGAAAACCTTATGAATAGCAGCGGGACACTGTCAGATAGACTGCTGGAAGATGAGCCCATCTGGTTGGAAGACACTCAGAATACGACTGGGGAAGAGCTGCCTCCTCAAAGTAGAGCTGACAGGACCAGGCAGTGTTTCATTCTTGCATAGGGTCACTATGAGTCGGAACCAACTTGACACACCTAACAACATTTTGTCATATGGCCAGGGGACCCTGATGAACCTGAATCTTGATTCAGACCTTGGCCAAAAGAGGAGACTACTCCAGCAATGTAAAGAAACTGAGCAAACTCTCTATTGAGTCGATTTGGCCAGAGGGAGGACTGCTTCGTTGGGTTTCTGAGACTGCAGTCTTTGTGGAAGCCAACAGCCTCATCTTCCTCCCACGGAGCAGCTGGCAGATTCACACCCCCAAGCACTACTTACATTACAGTGACAGTGTTAGAGAGAGAAGAGCCAGGCCTTGATCCTGCTAGCCAGGTCGCAAGTGCTCAAAAGCTGCATGTGACTAGTGGGCAGTGCGGGGCAGGTACACACAGCCCAGAATTAGAGCATGTCTGCCATCACAGGAAGGCCTGGATGGCCCCTCCCGCTTCACTTACACAAAGGAGAGACAGAGGAAGAGAGGAGACAGCAAGACCCACCTGGTTTTGGCCCTTTAGTGTGCTGTGAACTCCACCAACTCCCACCCACCATCCCTGGACCGCCAAGTCCTAGTGACTGGTTCTCCTGCCTGGAGCCGCAGCAGGGACCCCTGGGAGGCCCCTCTAGTGATGGAGAACTAAGTGTGCCCCATGTTACTGGTTTTCACAACATGCAGACTCTTCGCTGCTGTGCATGTTACATGAACTCAGGGTCATTGTTTCTCAGTGAGATGTGATTCCTCCTCACAGGAGACCCGATACATCTGAGACAGAGGAGGCCACGACCCCGTGTCCATTCTGTGAATTTCTTCTTCCGGAGTGTGAGCTCCTCTGCCCTGGGTGTAAAAACAACATCCCATACTGCATTGCAACAGTAAGTTTCTATATATTTTCCCTTTCTTTGTATGTATATTCAGAACCTGTGCTTCCACTTCTGAAATTGGATTCCTCAAATTTCCTGCAACATTTCGCATACATAACTTCTTAAGTCAACAAAGTCTCTGCAACACATGATAATCTCAGTGAATATCAAGGGGGCTCTGCCGTGCAAGCTTAGGCATCAGATGGCTCTGGTCTCAAATCCTGTTTAGCATTTACTAACTAAACCCATACAGGGGTCGCTGTGAGTTGGTACCGACTCGATGGCATTTAACATGTCACCTGGTGCGACCTGCTGTACGTTTCTAGGTTTCATCTATAAAATGAGTATGACTGTTCCTACCTCATTACAATAGATTGCTAACATGTATGAAATCCAAATACAACACCTGGCTTGCTGTAGCTCTTACTAAGTGGGGCTATTCGATTAATTCTATTACTTACTAAGGCCTATTATTAGGAAACTAAAATATTAGGCTGTTTGTTAATTCATGAGTTAAGATCAGCTTTATTTTAAAGGAAAATGAATTCAGATAGTAAATATCACAAAATTAAAGGTTATTTTTTTCCTTTATACATGAATCTGATAAAATCTGGCTTTAGTCCTTTGGGTACTACCTTTCTCGTTGATTACCCTCACATCTCAAATAATAGTTTTGTAATGAAAAGGTCTGTAACCAATTACTGTAGTTGAGTAATGGAAGTTTTGAAAAGCGAGATGTTGTTAAGTGCCGTCAAGTCAATTCCAACTCATAGCAACCCTGTATAGGGTTTCCAAGGAGCAGCTGGTGAGTTCGAACCACTGACCTTGAAGTTAAATGACTTTGCAATCTGATGCACTAGCCCACAGCACCACAGATGACTTACTGTTAAACATCCTGTTTTCAGGGTCGCCATATGCTGAAAGATGATTGGACAGAGTGCCCACATTGTGCCTTCCCTGCTCTGTACTCAGAATTTAAGATGTAAGTGTGCACCATTTCTCTCAACCACACACATTCAGTGGAAAACAGACTTCATTCAGCCACGTTATTTTGAATCTCTTTGTTGATATTCCAAGATTTCTAAGTCAGCTCTTGACAGAACCTTTGAGAGCATTATCCTAGACAGGGGCCTTGTATCAAACAGAACACTACTGTTCAGTTGTATGATGAGCACGTAGGAGAAGTGCAGACAGAAGTAGTCATTCTCCCTGTGTGAGAAGCCCAGAGCGAACAGAATAGTGTTGATATAATTATCCTTTATCTCCCTCCTCCAAACAGCATGCTCAACACTGAAAACACATGTCCTATGTGCTCTGAAAGATTAAACTGTACTCAGCTGAAAAAGATTTCAGACTCTACCCAGTACCTGAGGCCAGAGTTGGAGCAGTGAGCGGGAACCTGAGCAGGTGAGTGCCAGTGTCCACGCACATTCCTGGGGCCTGGGGCTGCTCTTAGAGCTCATGCAACTGTCAACTCTCTATTGGCATTGGCTTTTTATACATCGTGGAACTTGTCCGATCTGAACAGTCTCCCACAAACCTTTGAGTTATTAAAAGCGAATGCAGTTGGTATCCAAGCATAATCATGGATTCCAAACTAGGTGCTGAGGATTGGTCTGCTTTTGCCATGACATAGCGTGTGAATCAGGGCTCTCGGAGGGTCCCTTGGAGTGGCCTACTTCGCACAAAGAATTCCCGGAAATCAGAAATGACCCCCACACACACACACACACACCTGGGCCGGGATGCGCATGTCTAGGCAATTCTGTGCATCAGTGTTGCCGCACGATTTATCAGGAGCCCTGATGGCAGATTGGTCTGGAGCCAGGAGCTCAGGGGGGCTGGTGGAAGTGTGGTGGGCGCCGGAGCAGCCTCCATGACTGAACATTTTGATCAAAGATTCTTTTCATCTTGATCAGAAGGGAAAATGCAGGACGGAGTTTCAAGTTCTCCTGAAATCCAGTCTTTCTAGAGCCATACAGGCCAGTTGAACCCATGAAAACTATTGCCCTAAGATAATTTTCAAACCTTAAACTTAAAACCAAAAATGTTCTCTGAAATCTTAAAACAAACAATAGTCTAGCTTAACTAGTACATGACTGCCTTGAGCATTGTGCTCTTTTAAGATCTGCCTGTAAGGGACAGGGACTCCTGGTGTGGTGGTGTAGGACCAGCACTGGACTGTAAACCACAAGGTCAGCGGTTCAAACCCACCAACTGCTCCCTGGAAACCCTATACAGGGTCACCAAGTCAGAACCCACTCTACAGCACTTGACAATATATGGTACTAAATTGATAATAGTAAACACAAAAGCTTAGATAAAAAAACTCAGTTTATGTTAACTGAGGAACAACTCAGGAGGGTAAGAATCAGTATACCAATTGGAGAAATGTAATCAGTCACTTTATTCCACATGTAGAAATTAGTGGTGTATGTTCTCAGCAAATCATTTTTTTAAAATGAGTCATGTGATAAAAACTGCAAAGGAGATAGTCTCTAGTTGGGAAGTCAAAAGCCGAAACAGGTGCGCCCTTCCTCCCAGCAGTGGGTGAGGGCTGTCTTTATGCCTCGTCTCTCTTGCCGTACTACACTAGATAGGCCTTGCAGTCCAACGTGATATAAATGTAGTGAAGTGGGCGCCTTTGTCCTGTTTTCCCATCCCAATTTTGGGGCAGGCTTTCAACATTTCACTACTAAGCTCGCTGTTTAGCTGTAAGTTTTTCAGAAGAAGCCTATCAAATTAAAGAAATTCCTAGCGTCTAGTTCTAGGTTGCTGGGTATTAAATATTGTCAAATGCATTTTTGGATATATGGTTTTCTCCATTAGTTTGTTAATATGATGAACTACATTGATTTTTTTATTAAAATAAACATTCCAGGGAGACTCCTCTGGCCTTCTTTTGGGCCAATCAAAACATTTTAATAGTCCATTTTTATTTCTCAGTGAACTTTTACTTCTTTACATAGTATCTTTGACACAGCTTAGTTAATAAATCACTTCACATAAAATATAAGAAACTTGTAAAAGCTTCCATTGACCTCACCTCCTCTATCCTTTCTTTGTGCCATTGTATAGTTATCTACCTGTAATACAATCTTTTTCTTTGTAAGATGTTGCTTTATATGCAATCACTTGCTATTTTCTATATTCTCCCTGCTTTCCTGAATCCAGGTTTCCATGTGGCATCATTTCCTTTCAGCCAACAGAACTTCCTTTAATGTTTCTTACAGTGCTGGCCTGCTGGCAGTTGTGTTCCTTCATTTGTAAAGGAGAATCTGACATTCTTACAGAGCTTTTCTTGAAGCATTTTCAGGACCAACACTGTCTTCTGACCGTTCCCTGGATAAAATGTTTTCCTCTGCCTGCAAGCAAGGTTTTCTCTTGTATTTTGGCTTTCGGCATGACCACACCATGCGTTGGTGTGTTTCTTAAAGTTTATTCTGCTCTGGATTTTCTCATCTTTTTCATACCCTCAATTTTAAAATTTTGAATTATTCCTTCAAATATTTTGTCCTTTCATTCAGAGACTCCAATTTTATGCTTATTTGCTTGATATCCATAGGCCACTAAACACTCATTTTAATCAGTTTTCTCTTTATTCTTTAGATTTCATACTTTTAGCTGTAGAATTAGTTACCATTTCCCTGCAAAGTGCATTGCATGTAACTATATTTTTTCTTTAAACCCTTGAACATATTCAAAATAGCTGCTTAAAATTATCTTAACATCTGGATCATCTCAGCATCATTTTATATGGAATTTTGTCTCATGTCTATTTTCCTGGGATTTTTCTTCTCATGTCTTTAATAAATACTGGGCATTGTAGATGAGCTACTGTAGAAAGTGTGGATTGTTTTCCATAATAATAGTAGAGCATTCAGGCTCAGGGATTTGGGGAAGAGTTTATATGGAGATCTGGACGAGACCTCCTTTCCAGGATTACCCCACCCCCCACCATCCCAGCAGCTCTCGCAGCCACTGACTAGTCTCACTCATACCAGTAAGATTCCTGGATTGGTGCTTACATTCTGACCATCTGGGGCTTCATGAATGTGGGCATTTTAGCATGCATCATTCCCACTGGAGTTCTTTTTTTCAAGGGTCAACACCTTTTCAGTTTCTGCCTGCTTGTTCACCTTTCATTGCCTTTGAATATTAGATTGTGTTATGAATTTATAACTAGGAACTGTGGGAGGATTAGTTTCTAACTCTGCCACTACCAACATTGGAACCTTGCTTGTATTTAATAATCCTCCACAAATATCTCTTTTTAAACAACGCCTGCATTAAAGTAGAGCCTTAGAGAGCTTCAAGTCCCGAGATCAGGGTATCCTGGCTCCTTGCAGAGTTAGGATTATGTGGTGCTGCTCACAATCGACTCTCTTCAGACAGGACCCTCAGGACTGCAGACTCTGGAGCTCTCACTGGGCATTTGCTCTCTTCCCACTGAGGTGGGGTGGCCAGAACCCTCACTTTATGACTGTAAAACATTAAAAGCTCATCAGCTTGTCTACACGGTTTCTGTCAGTTGCAAGGTCAAGACTGCAAGCCAACACTGATTACAGACTTAGGTTCCTCATTTGAATATATTGCACCTGCTCCAAATTCCAGTAATGAGCAAAAATAAACAACTAAATCTTTAGCAAACTACCCTTTAGGAGTCCTGGTGTGGCGCTGTGGGATGAAGCACCAGACTACAAAGTCAGCGGTTCAAACTCACCAGCCACTCCTTGGAAACCCTGTACAGGGTCACTATGGGTCGGAACCAACTCAACAGCACTTAAACACATACTATCCTTTATTACTATCTGAATGCTGCCTGTTGCTTGAAACCCCAATTAAAACCACTTGTTTGGTTTTGTTGTCCTTTCTAGATGTGTTCCTGAGAAGCGGAGTTTTTCCATGGGGCTTATTGTCTCCCCTCGTAGTACGGAGGTGGGCCTTCCTGAGCACAGGAAAATAAACAAAGGTGACCTGGAGCGTCAGCACATCTCAGTGTCCGTAGATAGGGGCACAATCTTTGTTGGTTTTGTAGTCTGTGTATCTCCTCTTCGCAGTCTTACATATTCTACGCTCTGCATTGTTTATAGTAACCCATGACATAATTGTAAATATTTAGCTTTTGATAACTTTTATATTTTGAAATCTCTCCTTTAAAATAAAAGTGTTGCCTAGATATTTGTAATGTTTCCTTGGACTTAGAGACAGAAAAAGAGATCAAGGAAGCACACTGTGAAGTCTGTAGCACAGATGTCAGCACTGTGAGGTCTGAACTAAGTTCATACAAATCAAGACGGCTGAGCAGAATCAGCCCTAGAAGCAAAATGCTACAGCTCAGTAAAATCTGTCTGAAAACGTGAATGAAACCATAAGCTCTCAGGTTATAGATTCTACATTCTGCAGCGTTCCTGCTACAAAATTAAATGATTTGGCTTCTCCTGAAAACACACACGATTGGGAATCTTTTTCAAGCTTGCTGAGAGGGTTCCCTTCATCCTGCCTCCAACCTCCACCTTTTACTCACAGGCATGGGTGTAGCTTCCTACAGCCTCAGCACTGCCTTGCCATTTGTGATCAATGTCACCAGTCTGAGCAGCTGACAAAACGGAGTCACGTAGCCTGAGGTACAGCCCTCAGCAGTGTGAGCATTGCATTTGTTGTTACGTGCTGTCGAGTTGGTTCCTACTCATAGTGAGTGCCCCTATACAGGGTCTCTGCAGAGCGTTAATGATAGTCCCTACCAGTCGAAGGCCCCGTGTTTTACAGCATCCAGTCACCCCACCCCCAGCATCCTGACTCATCTTCTTTCCCAATTACTGTCCAGAGAAGATGCCAGAGGCTTTGGCCTTACTAAGTGGTACAATAACAAATGATCATAAAAACTACCTTTAGTGCCCAGGCCCTCTATCTTACCACTGGGAGGACACAATGACAATAAGAACCAGTGGCACTTAGGGTTCTGTGAGGGTGAGCACATTGTATTTGGCATTCACTATGAGATGAATTTTACCAGGATGTTGAGGATGATACAACTCTAGTAATACAGCACTCTGCTGCTGATTGAATACTTCAAGAGGTTAAATAATGGGGCTGCAGACTGCCGAGATTTAACCAAATGAAGGGTACAGCTGAGCAGTGTCTATAACAGATTATGAATTGGCTTTGACTCAAATGATTTCCAATAGAGTAAGTATATAGTCTTATGCCCCAGAGTCACATCCTGACAGCTTGAAGCCACCAACTCCTTCCTGCTATTTGGCTCGTCATCATAAAGGGAAGAGGAATCAAACAGCCATGTCACCATATAGTAAAGAGCATATTTACAATATATAATTCCAGAAGGTTATCTTATATACATATTATGTCAGTCTTGTGTTTAAAGCATTTATAATTAAAAACAAAATCATAATAAACTAGTAAATGCTACCATTCACTGTCCTGGCTGCAAGATTACAGCCCTCCCCCCGGGTTACAGAGCAACCCAGGAGCATGATTTACACATCCCAAAATAACAGAAGGAGAAGATGCGTATGGTGGCTGTCCTCACCAGTACAGTGAGGTGAGACAGTTGTCAGTCAAGAAACCTTTATTGAAGAATTTCAAACTGGGTTTTGACTGAGAGAGGGATGTGGCTCAGTGGGCAAAGGCATAGGTAATATTTTATCTCCATAATGTATTTGATCTGCATGGAAGACATTTTCACACTAGTAAATGCACATTTATAATGCCTCAAATGCTTTCTGCAGCATCTTCCAATCAAGTCTTAAGGGTAGGGAATAGTATCTTGGTTTTACACCCTTTGCAATATACTTCACAGAGCTACACGTTGACAAGATTAAAAACAGCTGGTTACTTCCAGAGGCAGGGCCACTCAAGTACAGTTCTAAGTACAATCTAAAGTTCTAGTTGTTGTTGTTGTTGTTAAGTGCCGTCGAGTCGGTTCCGACCCATAGCGACCCTGTACAGGGTTTCCAAGGGTGTAAATCCTTACGGGAGTAGAAAGCCTCATAAAGTTCTAGTAGGGTCTGTGAATTCCAGCCCAAGACAGAAGCAGATCTCCCAAGAAAGAACTAAACGAAGCCAGTGTTCATCTTGTCCCACACCACAGTGAGCCTACAAATCTGCCCCGGCCTAGACCCCAATGGTTTGATTCTCTCAAGCTGAAACTCTGGAAGGATGATAATATCTGGCCCTTCGGCAGTGCCCACACCCTGTATTACCAACAGAGAGTTAACGGAAATTCCATTCGCAGTAGCAATGTGGCTTGCACACTGTATAAGGAGAGGGAATGAAAACAGTAGAGTTCAAGTTCTTCAACTGCCAAAGATGTGCCTCACACAGCACATAGTAAAAAATACAGTGAGCTTTCCTATCCAATCATTTGCAAATTAATAAGAAAAGTAATATATCAACATAATATTTTACTGTACAAGATGATGACAATCTTAGGGTTTTATACATAGATGATGTGTAAGTGTTGCCCCTTAAATTACAATTTTGCAAGATATTGATAGTATACAAAGAATTCCTAGTTCTATGTGGTAACTGTTTTGTATTATGATTTATTTACAGAATTTCACCATATTAACAGTAACCACTCTGAAGAAAATTAGTATTGGTCCTATAAAAAGGGCACTAGAATGAATTCTGAAGCCTAAAAAAGTCAGCTTAGTACCACTGTTCCAAGGCACGGAATTGTTAACTAATAGCTGACTCCAAGCCCACATTTAGTCTTCAGTTTAATTATGTACAGTAATTTAGAAACACAACAATCTGGGTCGACTGACGAGGGACAGTCCTGTCCACCTCTCCAAGAGGTGGGTGACACTGGCTCAGGCCATCACATCACTGCACAAAACATGGTTCTTCTGAAAAAATAAAAATAAGGCTTCCTCTAGTCCAGCTAGACTGGACTGCAGGGTGAGAAAAAATGGCTGTCAGTAGAAGTAGCAGTTTCATTTCTTAGAACTTTTTCCTTTTTTTGAGTTCTTATCTTTTTCTGGCTTTGAAGATTTTGTCTTTTTCTGTTGGGGGAAAAATGTACAAAAATTACACTTAATAGCTGTGCTTATGGATAAGTGAGGTAAGTTCTGCACTATGTCTAATTCATTACAGGAGAGGCGAAGTCCCAGAGCACAGGGCTCCTGACTCCACTGCAAGCCATGACTCTGAGTCGTGACTCGTTATAGCCTTTAAAAGACAGCAGTAAGAGAACCAAAGTTAAATTAGAGTCTAGAGCAAAATTACGTTACGCATGCAAGCAATTACCTTGGATTTAGAACACAAGTATTATAACTTTGTTGTTGTTAGGTGCCGTTGAGTCAGTTCTGACTCATAGCGACCCTGTATAGGATTTCTGAGGAGTGGCTGATGTGTTTGAACCACCAACCTTAAGGCTACAGTGTAGTGCTAATCCTACATTGCCACAGTATAACTAGGAAAGGCAAAATTAGCAGGAAATGAGTTAAATGAAGAATTGCCTCTTCCTGCACGTTTCAGAGAAGAGATTTTAAGCAGTTGCAGTTTGTGAAGGATGACAAGGAGTCAAGCTGTCGACACTGGTATGAATGTACTCACTATGCCTCTCCAGCACGCACAGAATACCAGTGAGGGGCAAGCTCAACAGGGAGCTGATAGGTACTGGACTGCTAACCTCAAGGCAGATGGCCCTATGCAGAGTGCTTATGGGTAGGAACCTACTCATTGACACTGAGTAACAACAAAACACAAGGCTGTTTTGCTCTGAGAAATTTCTACAGGCATCTCAATGATGATAACCACACAGAAATGACAGAAAAATGTTTGTGTGTGGGGAAGAAGGGATATTGCTGCTGTTGTTCAGTGCTGTCGAGTCAGTTCCATCCACAGCAATCCTGCAGAGGGTTTCAGAGGAGCAGCTGGTGAGCTTGAACCGCTGAACCTTGTGGTTCAAACTGACCTTGCAGTCTAGCGCATTACCCCGCAGTACCACACCAGGACTCCGAGAAAGGCTATGCTACCAATGGCCAAGTAAAAATGCCATGCTTTCCAGCAGAGCACAAGACCATCCATACGATGAGGTTACTTACTTGTTAGCTGGCTCTTCTAGTACTGGCGAGCCGCTGTAGGGTAAGTTTGTTGTTGTTGTTGTTAAGTGCCATTAAGTCAGTTCCGACCCACAGTGACTCTATTGTATAGGGTTTCTGAGGTGCAACTGGTGAACTTGAACCTCTGACCTTGCAGTTCAAACTGACTTCACAGTCCAGTGCATTAACCCACAGTGCCACACCAGGCTGCTAACCACAAGGTCGGCAGTTTAAAACCACAAGCCACTCCTGGAGAAGCCTACAGGGTCACTATGAGTCAGAACGGAGTCAATGGCACTTGACAACAACAAAAAACAACTACTATAAGAAGCTCATGGTTTATTTAATAATGAAATCTATACCTTCTCCACCTTAAACTACTGAACAAAATAAAAGTGTTTTCAGCTTACTCTGTTACTTAGTGAACAAGTACTGAACCTGGTATTCAGAAGCAAGTGAGACACAAGACAAGGCAAACTACTATGAAGGGGGCACAGGAATTCTCCGGCCTAAACTCCGTGTACTACCTTGATCATAGCGTCCGCTTCCACAGCATCTCGGTCTTGCTCATCAGACTGAGACTCATCTTCATGTAAGTCGTCGGTGTACTCAGACTCCAGCGCTGGGCCTGTGCTGCGTCTCGCCACCTTCACTGCCTGGAGTGAATACGGAGTCAGGTGGGCCTCCTTATTGTACATTCTCGTGAAGGCTGCCTTGACCTACGGGAAAGGAGTCGAGGGAGTAAGAAAACAACTAAATGCTAAACAGTTCTTTTAAACTCTGTAAATCTAAAGACAACCCTCAAAGACCCTTGAAATTGTTGGCAAAATGTTTGTGTATAATATATGTGTGTGTATAAATGTATGTGTATGTACTTTTGTAGGGCAAGGTTCCAAATTTTTCATGATACTCTAAATAAAAACAATATTTGAGGATTTAAGGTAGACCAAAAAAGGGAAGGGGGCACTTTAAGCGATTATTTTTAACTATGCAGTGATATCTTCACTTCTACCAAGTAATAAGCAAAGTTAGTGAATCAATAAATGAAAAAGCTCACTAAACACATAAATCATCTTTTCCATAACAATAGTTAAGTCTGAAATACTATACTACAAAATTTAAAAAGCCTTAAATTCAAGCTTCATAAATACATAAAAACTTCTCATCAGAATTCTAGAATTAGTCCATGAATTCTAACAATGGATGCTGCTGTGAGAATTTAGTGGTAACCAGTAAGCCAAAACAAAATTCTAGAAAAGGCAAGTCATAGAGAATGTCCCTTCTAAAATGGCACCAAATCAACAGACACAAGAGTATTAGATACCACATATTCATGTCTTGTCACTTCAGTTTTTTTATGCTCAATACAAGATGAAATGAGGGAAGCCACGATTCCATCCACAGAGGGGCAGACGGAGACAACGCAGCACTCCAATATCCCGAGGCTCCTCCCTGTGCCCTTTAAGAAGCACACTTACATTATTCCTCACATTTCCCTTCTGGCTTTTACACTCAGCATAAAGCAATAATAGAAATTTAAATTGTAAAGTCAAATCCTGAAATCAGGCCTTCTTATTGTATCCAAACTGTTATCTTTTGAAACTACTGGGTCAAAGAAAGCTTGTTTTGGGGTCCTTTTGCTAGAGTACGTTCTGAAACCAGAACCAAATAGACAAGTCAATAGCAAAATACCATAACTCAAGTCATCTTATGCAGTGTCAGCACTGAATCACAAACAATCCAATTAACCATGGGCAAGGAGCTCTGGTAGCATAGTGGATACGAACTGGACTGTGAACCTTAAGGTCAGCAGTTTGAAACTACCAGCTGTTCTGCGGGGAAAGATGAGGCTTTCTGCTCCCGTAAAGATTTACAGCCTCGGAAACCCTGTGCAGGGTCGCTAGGAGACGGAACCAACTCCAAGGCACATAACCACCATCACCAAAAAGAGCTTTATGGGAAACACATAGCCCTTTCTTTTTTTAACGCATCTAACACCACCTCTGAAGTAGTTGTAGTAGATTCCTGGTAACGACAAGGTGGAGGAGAACCAGTTTCCACAAGTTACCTTGGGATCTAGGCTGGAGAAAGGACTAGGTTTGCCTCCCCAGCTGCTCAGCTCCATGATATTCTCAAAGTCTTCCTTCATCAAGTAGTACGTGTCCATGAGTGCAACAGCAGCCTGCACCCCTTCTCCCCCTTGTGAGGCCAAGGGCTGTACAAGTGCATCTCTGAGGTGGGGCAGGTAATCCAGGTTTACGGTCCTTTTGCTAGAGTGCGTTCTGAAACCAGAACCAAATAGACAAGTCAATGGCAAAATACCACAACTCAAGTCATCTTATGATGCAGTGTGAGTCAGGACTGAATCACCAACAATCCAATTAACCATGGGCGGAGAGCGTTAACAGAAGACAGGCGGCCAACAAATACTTGAGGAAACACCTGTGATCTTCAGCCACTGGAAAACTGGAGAGGTACAAATCAAAACATCGAGATGTCATCTCACATCCCAGCATCACTAAAACCAAAGGCAATCCAAACCCACTGCCACCGAGTGGATTCCGACTCATAGTGGATACAGGACTTCTGAGGCAGGGCATCTTTACAGGAACAGAAAGCCTCGCCTTTCTCTCAGAGTAGCTGGTAAGTTTGCACTGCCAATCTTATGGTTAGCGCACCAATAATCCTACAATGCTACACCAAGACTCCTAGAAGACATTATGCTGAGTGAAATTAGTCAATGAAAAGGAAAAGTATTTTATGTGACAATTACTGTAGTGTGGCAACAGTAGTGAGGTGGGCCCAGGACCAGGCAGTGTTTCGTTCTGCTGTGCCTAAGGTCACTATGGGTCAGTACCGACTCGATGGCAACTAACATCAACAACTGTAAAAAGTCAAGAAAAAGTTTACACATAGAGAAACGTTCTCTGAAGGTTATCAGCGGTGGGTGGGGAATTGACGGTAAATCACTAAAAAACCAACTGCCATAGAGTCAATTGTAACTCAGAGCAACCCTGTAAGGGTTTCCGAGAGCAGACAGCCTCATCTTTCTCATGGAGTGGCTAATGTATTTGAACCATCAACCTTACAGCTAGCAGCCCAATGCCTAACCCACAGTGTGCCACCAAGGTATTTAAAAAAACCCAAAAACCTGCCACTAAGTCCATTCTGATGTGTAACAACCCTGTAATACAGAACAGAACAGCTCTTTAGGATTTCCCCGACTATAAATCTTTATGGGAGTAGATAGCCTCATCTTTCTCACCTAGAATGGCTGGTGGGTTTGAACTGCCACCCATCAGGGTTAGCAGCCCAGTGCTTAACCCACTGCACCACCCAAGCTCCTGAACTAGACAGTGGTGGTGATGGTTATATGCCATGGAATCAGTTCCGACTCATAGCGCGACCCTGTACCGGGTTTCCGAGGCTGTGAAGGGGTAGACCTTATTAACTTGGGTGAAGGGTAAAGAACTGTAAAATAAGGGGGAGGTCAGCACCAAATGATCAAGGCCAAGGAAAGCCCTGGGAAGAGCACAAAAGAATGGTGACTACTATTACATACCCAATCCTGCAATACCAGTAATAACGATTCTCTACAAGTCCATACATATATAGACCTGTGGGCTGAACAAGTATGGAACTACACCCACAAATATCTATGTCTGCATTTATATGTGCTGCAAATATGTCCACATAGTAGAGCACAAGCGTTAAGTTATGAAAGCATTTTAGCCATAAACAAACACTGACAGATATGGTGCAGGGCCTGGGGGCTGTACGGACTGCGATCAATGTCGCAAAATAAACTGTATATGAATCCTCCTCAAACTTTCAACCAAATCACAATAAAAACCCAAACCACCACCACCACCACCTTCACTTAATCAGGCAGGGCGCTATCCTAACTTTAATAATGGCCAACACAGTGCCAAGTGATAAGGAATGCCTACTATGTGCCAGTACTATGCCATCAGAGTAATGGGTACACAGACAGCAGTACGATGAAAGGGTATTTCACTTACCTGGGCCTATGACTGAAAACCAAATGAGGTTCTACTTCCATCCTACTTTCCAAGGCAACCCACTGCTTGTATTTACAACAGTTATTAAGATATTGAATGATGCAGAAAGCATCAAGAGAAGATGGAAGAAATACACAGAGTCACTGTACCAAAAGAAAATGGTTAATGTTCAACCGTTTCAAAAGGTAGCATGTGATCAAGAGCCAATGATACTGAAGGAAGAAGTCCAAGGTGCACTGAAGGAATTGGCAAAGAACAAGACACCAGGAATTGATGGAATAAAGACTGAAATCTTTAAAGAAAGTGAGGTGGCACTGGAGCCACTCACTCATCTCTGCCAACACTCATGGAAGCAGCAGTCAGGAAAACAAATGACATATTGCATTAGGCAAATCTGTTACACAAGACCTTTTTAAAGTGTTGAAGAGCAAAGATGTCAGCTTGGGGACTAAGGTGCGCCTGACCTAAGCCATGGTATTTTCAATAACCTCATATGCATGTGAAAGCTGGACAGTGAATAAGGAAGATCATAGAAGAATTAATGTTTTGAGTTATGGTGTTGGGGGAGAATATTGAAAGTGCCATGGGCTGCCAAAAGAACCAATAGATCTGTTTTGGAAGAAGTGCAGCCAAAGTGCTCCTTGGAGGCCAGGATGGCCAACTTCATCTCTCTTACTTCAAACATACTGTCAGGAGGGACCAGTCGCTGGAGAAGGATATCATGTTTGGTAAGGTGGAGGGGTCAGAGAAAAAGAGGAAGACCACCCCCTGCCCCCAGCGAGATGGACTGTCCAAGTGGCAGGATCAATGGGCTCAAGTGTGGCAACAATTGTGAGGCTGGTTCAGGACCAGGCAGTATTTCGTTGAGTTGTGCCTAGAGTCACTATGAGTCGGTACCAACTCGAAGGCACCTAACCACAACAACAAGATTACTCAGGCCACATTTGAAAATATGAAAGGCACCAGCAATGAAACTTCCTACCTCAAGGGCCTGAATACTTTCTAGTCTCCAATGACAAAAAAAAAAAACGATTACATGCCCAATCCTGCAATAACAGTAATAATGATATTAGCGATAATCTACAAGTCCATACATAGACCTGTGGGCTGAACAAGTGTGAAACTACACACACAAATATATATGTATATATGTCTGTATTTATATGTGCTGCACACATGTCCATGATCTAGTACAGCACATGGGGTACCGTTATGAAAGCATCTTAGATGTAACCACTCTGACATAATACATTGCTGGGCCAATACAAAAGTAATAGGGGGTGCACTTCAGTAAGATGGTGGAAAGTGGAATGAAAAATAATGGATTTTTCCACAAAACTTCTATGAATACTTTAATCACATTTCTAACATTGTTACTCTGAAATATTCAGTTCGGGGAAAAGTATTTTCCCCAAATAGAATAGAACTGCAGAGACTGGCTCTTCTTAATCACAAGGTGACTCCCAGCAGCCAGGGGTAGACTAGGCAATCAGCCGCTGATGGACTACGAACTAGAAAGGTATCATGCAAACAACTATCTTCTTCTGTCTGTTAAATGCTATCAATTACTTCTTAAATAACAGAAAATAGCAGAACTAAACCATACCTCAAACGCCACCACCCTAAATCTTTCCAACCTAGCTGCCTCCAACTTCAAAGCAATTGTATCATTATATACGCATGCATAATTTAAACAAAGAAATTTCAATAACCATTTTTATCAGAACCAACATTAAAATCAGAAAATATATGAAAAGTCCCTTAAAAAAATTATCTACTGGGTCCTGCTCCTGCCTGCAGGTAACTGAATGTCTGAATCACAAAACCCAGATAGTTCTTCTTCGGTTCAGAAATCTATAACCTTACCCCATAAATGGTTTTATTACCTTGGCAAACATTAAAAACAGAAATCATGAGCCCATTTCCAATAAAATCCCAGGCATTTTGTTATATAAGTGTTACCTTCTAATCAAATTACAGAACATTAAGCCCAGAAAAGCCTAAAGGTATCATCTAAAGGGTTCTTAATCTCAGGAATCATTTTCTTAAATTTGCATTATTTCTGCATATGTGCACTTTTCTGAGAATAAAGATCAAAATCTTCAGATCCTTAAAGGCATATCAATGACCCCAAAAAGGTTAAGAACAAAGGATAAAATCAAACTTCTACTTATTGAAGGTGAAGAGAAACTGAAGCTTATAGATGCTGTGACGTCAACTAAGGGTTAGCAGGTAAAGTGGTACCAGCGAGTCGATTGGACTCACAGTGAGCCTGTGGCACAAGAGGCTGAAAACTGCCAGGTGTTGCACCGTCACAACTGTACGTTTGAGCCCACTGCTGCAGCCAATGTGTCAGCCCATTTTATTGGAGGGGCTTCCTCTTTATTGATGAATTTCTACTTACCAAGCAGAATGTCTGTTTTCCAGAGATTGGATGCTCCTAATAACATGTCCCACTGACTGGCAGAGATGTTTATTTGTACCCATTCCAAAGAGAGGTGACCCAACAGAATACAGAAATCATCAGACAACATCATTAATATCCCATACAAGCAAAATTTTGCTAAAGATAATTCAAAATCAGCTGCAACCATAAATTGACAGAGAACTTGCAGAGGTTCATGCCAGATTCAGAAGAGGATGCAGAACAAGGGATATCACTGCTGACATCAGATAGATCTTGGATGAAAGCAGAAAATACCAGAAAGATGTTTACCTGTGCTTCACTGACAATACATATTTCAGTTGTGTGGATCATGACAAACTATATGGACAGCATTGCAGAGAATGAGTATTCCAGAACACTTAATTGGGCTCGTGAGGAACCTATACTTAGACCAAGAGACAGTTGTTCAAATAGAACAAGGAAACACTGAATGGTTTAAAATTAGGAAACCCAGCCTTCGGTATGGGTTGCATCTCAATGTAAAGAAAAGAATTCTTACTACTGGACCAAAAAATAGTATCATGATCAATGGAGAAAAGATTGAAGTTGTCCCAAGACTTCATTTTGCTCAGATCAACCATCAGCACTTATGGAAGCAGCAGTTGAGAAATCAAATGATGTATTTATTGCATTGGGCAAATCTGCTGCACAAGGTATCTTTAAAGTGTTGAAGAGCAAAGATGTCAGTTTGAGGACTAAGGTGCACCTAACCCAAGCCATGATATTTTCAGTAACCTCATATGCATGCAAAAGTTGGACAGAGATATAGATGCATTTGAGTTACGGTGTTCGATAATATTAAAAGTAACATGGA